GCTCACGACAAATATCCTCCTCACCAAATACCCATCCCCACCATTTTTCATCTACTCCAAATCCCACCGACTCGGTACTTGTAAAACTCTAGTGACTTGCTCTAGTTAAACTCTCAATGCTGATCCTACAAGAGGAGGTTAGGAGGGGCCGACAGTCCACCAATACGGTGCGTGACCGACCTCATGAAACGTTGGCCAAATTTCTGAAATGCGTTTTCGATTAGGAAGGATTACTTAGGTGAGATTGTAATACTAATGACTATGCGGCAGAATCCTATATTATTTCGGGCTCGCCAGGATGTCGGCTTTTGAATGCAATTCTCTTCTCCCTCCTGCAAAGCCACATTCAGCTAAAATTGACTACTTTAGTAGCACGCATTTTTCACACTGATTTTCGATGATCTGATAAACTCAAATATACTTTACAGACAGCATGCATAAAAATATGCTTTATTTTACTCGTTTGGTGGGAAATAACATTGTCTTAACATTTTATACCCAAGATAATGTATGTATATAGGTTCTGAAGAATTTCCCCAATTTCTGAGTAATTTTGAGCCTAACCAGTCGTTTCATTAGCGTCTAGCTATTTCAGTCTACGAATTGTGTGCTTTCCGCGTGAAGAAAATCATATATTCCTCTATTTCTTTAAAAATATAACATATAGAGTTCACGGGATTTTTCAATGGATGCGGACTACGTTGTACATTTCATGCGGAGCGTTGACAAACGGACATGTGCGGTGCTGGAGGAATGGATACGGCACGGTCTTAGAATATTCATAATTAGAAACTTGTTTAAAACCGAAAGGTATACCCTCTTAGGGAATAAAATGCAAATACAATGTTATTTCCCACCAAACGAGTAAAATAAGGCATATTTTTATGCATGCTGTCTGTAAAATATATTTGAGTTCATAAGATCAGCGAAAGTCAGTGTGAAAAATACTTACTACTCGAGTAGTCAATTTTAGCTGAGTGTGGCTTTTGCAGGAGGGAGAATAGAATTGCATGCAAAAACCGACATCCTGGCGAGCACGAAATACTATAGGATTCTGCCGCATAGTAATCGGTACTACAGTCCCACCTGAGTAATTCTTCCAGATCAAAAATGCATTTCAGAATTTCGGCTATCATTTCATGAGATCGGTCACTCACTATATACGCACGTGCAAGTCATGGTTGCCAAAATTCCCTTTCTTGAAACCGTGCGCAGGTGACGGACCAGCAACGAGGTACATCTCCTCCTCCTCCTCCTCCTCCCCCTCCTCCTCTCGTTCTATTCTTCCTCCCTTCCTCCTCCCCTTCTTATTCTTTTTCTTCTTCTTCCTCCGCCTCATCATCATCCCTTCAAGTTCGGATGCAGCACCCTATTTACAAACGTCATTGCTAATTCTTACCATAGGGGCTTAGGAGGGGCTGACAGTCCACCCATATGTGCACATGCGTATCATGCTTGCCAAACTTCATTCTCGCGAAACTGTGCGCGGGTGACGGACCAGCTACGAGGTATAACTCTACCTCCACCTCCCAGGAGTGTAGTGGGTGCGGTCCACTGGATGGTGATTCACAGAGGTATGCAGTAGGCAAAAATACCCAATATCCATCTCTATATTGGTGGCGGAAGTGAGGATGAACTGTCAGGTGGGCAAACGGTGGTTTACTGTTCAGGAGGGAGTGGAGCAGGATATGTGCAAGCGGACAAATCACGCGCAGCAGGCCCGCGCTAAGGCTGTGAAAATTTCCCTTGTAGCATCCTTTTTTGACTGATTAACCACCGGAAAACTGATCTGAAATGAACCCACATAAACCCGAAAATCGTTTTGAAAATGTAGCAATATTGTTAGTTTTTGAAATCAGTAAGTGTATGAAAATTTGTCTTGTGTTTAAACTGGTGTAAGATTGTTAATTGTTCGTTGTCATAGTATGACCCTGCCCGATCAGTCTTTAGATTTCACCATGTCGACTTTTAAAAACTGACTAAATTGCTGCCGGTTGTCAAGCCCGCTCAGCAACGATCAGCGAAAGCATTTCCAAAAATGCTTTTCTGATTTTGTGGATCATCTCATTTCAAGGTACCGCGCTCATGGGGATATTCCCACTCTCACAGCGCAGGTAGCGCGTGATTTGCTTGCTTACGCAAATCCTGCCACGTCCCCACCTGGAAAACAAACTACCTTCTGTCTACGTGACGTTTCATCATCACCTCTGCCACCGCCCCCAGATTGTGCTAAATATAGAGATGGACATTAGGTATGTTTGCCTGCTGCATACCTCTGTAAATGTCTATCCATTGGGCCGCACCCACTGCACTCTAGCTTAGGAGGAGGAGGAGGAGGTGATGCTCCCCGTAGCTGTTCAGCCACCCCGCACAGTTTCGTGAAAATAAAGTTTGGCAAGCATGAAATGCACGTGCGCAAGTGGGTGGACTTTCGGCCCCTCATTATCCCCTCTTCTAAGGATCGACAATGAGAGCTTAACTAGAGCAAACCACCAGCGTTTCAAAAGCACCAAGTCGGTGGGATTTGCGGCAAATGGAAAAATGGTAGAGAAGGGAATTTTTTGGTGGGGCATATTTGTCGTGAGCTGTGGACAACAATTTCAATCCCGTTGGCGGTACGCAGACTTCTTGAAGCTATGGCTAGTCTGCGCTGATCGTTTGAAATCATGTCAGCCGTCTATTACCGGCTTGCTTACATAAAATCACTGCAGAGAAAGGGAGATGACACAGCTATTTCTCGTGATAACTCACAGAGGTGCATGTGTACAGACCAAAAATTCGAATCCTGCAATTGCTAAAGTCGATTAAGAATAATTTGCACGATTTTGAATGATGTTCTCATTGTATTTTGGGGCGGTTGTTGGCATAGTGACATTTTCCTGTGAATAGATGCGTTGAGGGATATTAATGGCAATTTGACAGGAGTGGATGAGTGGCAATATATTATTTTGAATGACGTGCACTTCTATGGTGGAGGGGCGCTCATCGATCGTTCTTACGGAATTCACTCGTTCCATTGGGCCTCACGGGTTCCCGCTCTCGAGCACAACCAGCAGCCCCGCAGGACAACGAGCTCGTGGCTCAGTGGTTAAAGGCGTTGGATTTCTAACTAGCGGGTCTCGAGTTCGAGCCTCAGGTGTCCCACACCTCGGGGTTGAGTATGGCTGGCTGACGAAGGCTAATAAGGCAGAAACGGCTCTTCCAGTCTCCCTTGTCTTCGTGGGTAATAACACCGCGCACTTCTATCTCGTAACATATTCCATACCTGCAGTAAAATCGCTAAATCCAACCCAGAATTTTGTCGTAAATCGCTGCCAAATGTAGCATCCTCAAGATGCAGGGTTTCATTGGCTTTCGGTTATTACTATGCTTTCTTTCGTAAGAAGGCTTTGCACTGATCAGTTTGCGGGCCGTGTTTACCCCGTGGCTCCCTTGGACTCAGTCTAGAGTCTTCGCTGGCGGTGGTAGAACATCAGTATCGGCCGCCTTGCCTGAATGGGCTACCTACAATTCCTTCTGCTGTTTTGACCTCGCTAATCAGCCACGGGTCATTCTCATCACAAAATGATCTGCGATTTGAAAGCATCTTGTACAGTAAGTGGGTTAACACATAAAATGTCAACCGAAATTCCGAAATGCATTTTCGTTTCAAAAGGACTAATTTAGTAGGGTTGTAAAACCAGTCAGTCTGCAGTATAATTCTATAATAATTCAGTTACAGCTTTCGAAGGAACTTCCTTGCGGCTGAATACAAAAAACATACTCTGCAAAAAATGACTACTTAAGTAACAGGCATTTTTCTCATTGATTTTCGATGCCTCTACAAGTCCAATTATATATCATAGAAACCATGCCTAAAAAGATTCATCTTTTGCTCATTCGGTGGAAAATTATGCCTTCTTTCAATTTTATACTCGAAGGAGGAACATAATTCGGTTCTAAAAAGTTTATTATTGTAAAATTTTAAAATACCATGAAATGGCCGTTCATAAGACCTCATGTCTTTGCATTTACTAATGTGACTTGTAAAGTTAACGATGTGGATCAAATCCAATGCTAACTTTTATGAACCCTATATGATCTTCTCTCAATACCGTAGAGAAATGTGTAGTTTTCCGCGCGCGGAAAATACATGGCTTGCAGTTTGGAAACCCTGAATGCAAGTGTGACGGCGGAGCGGGTTCAAAATTATTCGGGAATTAGAAAACTTTTTGAAAACCGAATTATACTCTTCCTTCAAGTACAAAATTGGAAGAAGACGTGATTTTCTACCGAATGACCAAAAAATGAATGTTTTTATGCATGTTTCCCATGAAACATAATTGGACTTTTAGAGGCATTGAAAACCAAGGAAAAAATGCACTCCCCTCCAGGCAGCGCAGTCTGTTCCGACGTGGGTGTCGAAATCGTTAATAACAACCAGCTTGTACGCCTTCGGCACTGTCGCCAGGACCGAAGGCGGAGAAGCTGGTTGTTATTGGCGATTTCGACACCCACGTTGGGATAGACTGCTCTTATTGGAGGGGAGTGCTGAGTCACCACGGAATCGCCAGCTGCAATGACAGTGGTCTCCTTCTTCTGCGAACCTGCGCAGAACACTCTCTCCTGCTGACTAACACATTCGTCGGCCTCCCGAAGCGGAAGAAAACGACTTAAGGGTGCATTCCTGATCGCGTCGCTAGCAACCGCTGGACTGCATTCTCTTTCAGAGGCAAGATCGACAGAACGTGCTAGTGACCAAGGTGATCTGCGACGCCGAGGGCTGGACCGATTTCTGCCTCGTCATCTCTAAGATGAGGCTCCGCCTGCAACCTTACAGAAGGCGACAAGGTAAGCGACCGCCAGGTAGGTTAAATACCGCTTTGCTGGAATTTCAGCAATCAACTGACGCAACACCTGGAGTAAATGTCGGCCCTGGACGACAACGCCACCGTGGAGGCTCGATAGCGTCAACTGAGGACCGCTACCCATTCGAATGTTTTGGATAGCCTTGGACGCGCATGTCACCAACATTAGGATCGGTTCGACGGCAGCGGCACCGACAGCAGCCGCTGCACAAGGTCTACATAAACCACCGGACCAGCGTCATCAGGGCGGTCTTCTTCCGCCATCGTCGCATTGTGCAGCAGCGAGTGATGGAGATGCACGACGCCTGGATGACTCGCAAGGCCGAGGACATCCAGGGATATGTCGACCGCAATGAGCTCAAGAACTTCCTCGCATTAGCCAAGACGAACTACGGCCTTCCAACTAAAAGAACCGCGCTACTTCCCGGCTCCTAAGGAAAAATGACTCTGACGGGTTCTGAAGAGTTGCGTCGAGCACTATAGAAATTCACAGATGTTTTGGCAGATCTTGAATTATTCATATTGACCCAACCGAGGCGCCGAGTTTTTCGCGGTTGGGTCAGTATAAACACTTTAGAAATGTCCTCAGTCGCCCATCTATAATTCCCGATACCTCCATCGATCGACTGCTTCAAGTGGAAACGAACGACGACCCGGATTAGTCTCCTTCTCTCTAAGAAATAATCCGCGCCATACACCAACTGTCCGGCAGGAAAGCACCGAGATCTGATGCCATTCCGGTCGCAGTCTACAAGCACAGCGGCCCCCGGTCAATGAATCAACTCACAGAGCTCTTTCTGGAGATGTGGCTTCAAAGGCAGGTCACTTCCAACATCAAGGACACGACTATTATCCATATCTACAAACGTCTATAGGGAATCATCAACTCTGTGATAAGCACAGAGAAATCTCACTGTTCAACATCGCTGCGAAAACCTTCGTCCGCATCCTTTCCAACCGTCCTGACGACCACCTCGAACAATGACTTCTCCCGACGTCAGTGCGGAGCCGCCGACATGATCTTCACTGCCCACCAGTTTCAAGATAAATGCCAGGAAATGCGAGCCCACCATTACACTATCTTCATTGACTTAAAGAAAACCTTCGACATGGTGAGTCACGATGGACTGTGGTAAATCATGCAGAAATTCGGCTGTCCTAGGTGGTACACGTGCAAGGTACGTCATCTCCACGCCTGGGATGATAGCATCATGGAAAATTGGACCGACTCTAAAGCACTTCCGGTAACCGAAGGAGTGAAGCAGGGCTGCGTCCTCGCGCCTACCCTCTTCAGCCCCACGTTTCCTGCCATGCTGATGGACGCCTACCGCAACGAGTACCCCGGAATCTGCATCGCCTACAGGACCGACGAGCATCTTCTTACCAGCCGGCGCATGCAGGCATCAACGCGTCTCTCTAAGACTACAGTTCAGGTCCTAATCTTTGTGGATGACCGGACAATCAACACCACGACCGAAGAGGATATGCAAAGAAGCATGAACCTCTTTGACGTCGGGTATACCACATTCGGACTGAACATCAACAAGGACAAAACGATGATTATGCACCAACCGCTGTCCAACACTGCATACAGTGTTCCTCGCATCCAAGTCAGCAGCATCGAACGATAAAACACGGGCAGCTTTGCCTGCTTAGGCTGCACACTCTCACACTGTATAGAAATTGACGACGGAGTGGCTCACCAGACCTCCAAAGCCACCAAAGTCATCGGCTGGCTGCAGAGCTCGCTATGAAAACGCCACGGGCTCCACCTGAACACCAAGTGAAGATGTGCAAAGTTGTCATCCTGACGACACTTCCGCACGGAGTGTAGACCTGGACAGTCTGCAATAGGCAAACGCGGAAGCTGAATCACCTCCACCTCAGGTGTATCCGGTGAATGCCAGATATGACGTGACCAGAGAGGATCTCGGAAAGAGGGGTTCTGGATAGGAGTGGAATCCTTAACATCCACGCCATGCTGAGGCAATTGCAACTACGACAGAATGGCCACCTGGTGAGGACGAATGACGCTCGCCTTCCAAAAGAACTCTCCTATGCAGTTATTGTTACGGGTGCTCGCCGACAAGGAGGCCGATTCTGCCGTCTGGAGGACACTTTGGAGAACACCTTGAAGCGGCTACAAGTCAATCTGAAGTCTTGAGAAGACTTCGCACGAAACTGACTGGCCTGAAGAATAGAAGGGAAGACTGGAGCAGCAGTCTTTGAAGCCAGCCGGATCACCGCTGTCGAAGCCAAAAGGGAAGTTCGCAAATCCTAGGCATGCTTTCTATAAAATGTATTTGAGTTTATAAGACCATCGAAAATCAATGTGAAAAATGCATGCTACCCAAGATGTCGATTTCAACTGAGAGTGGCTTCTGTAGGAGGACGAAAAGAAGTGCATACAAAAGCCGACATCCTGGCGAGCCCGAAATTCTATAGGATTCTGCCGCATAGTCATCAGTAGTATAATTTCATCTAAGTAAACCCTCCTAGTCGAAAAGGCATTTCAGAATTTTGGCCGACATTTCATGAGGTCGTGTACGTGCAAGTCATGCTTGCCAAAATTAATTCTCACGAAACCGTGATGGACCAGCTACGTAGTACACCGACTCCCCCTCCTTCGCCCCTCCTCCTCCTCCTCCTCCCTCTCCTACTCCTCCCCGGCAAGGGTGTAGAAGGTGCAGTCCGCTGGATAGATAGATACCACCCCTCCTATCGACCGGAACGCTCTCGACGCCCCGCCAACAATCACCTTCATCATCACAACCTTCACCTACAGCAATGTGGACTCGGTCCCAACCCGTCTTTATTACGATCGCAAACTCACCTCTCATACTGGCCCGGTCGGTCATTTACGAATCCACTGCACAGAGACTGTCGAACCATTGCCTGGATCACAAGCATACACTCGCTGCATTCAACTTCACTGTTCACTCTGTCCACGCAGAGACATGAAAACCTGAGGTAGAACACACCTCTCCTCACCGGCACCTACAACACGCATCAGCGTCACCCATCACCACATAACGTAAGCACTTACTTGCTGCCCCCCCCTACTTAAGTGTGCTTCTCTGCGCCTTCTCCGTGTGACCCCTTTGCTGCATTTGCCATCCGAGCGTGGTGGGCCAAGCGCCGTGGCTGGGAAGGCTGCCAACTGACGCTTCAACTCAGGCCACGCAGTCAGTCCATTTGCGTGTGTTTGTGTGGGATGCCGGACTGGCGCACTGAGAGTCAAGCTACAATGTCTCCTTCCTAATTTGACTTCTGATAGTTCTGCGCATGCGAGGAGTGTGTGTGTGCATGAGCGGTGCATCTCATACAACCCGACCTTGAGGGGTGGTGGGCTAGACTAAGTGCAGGGCCCCTTCCCACCTTTTTGGGACTTAAGGATTGTGTGCTTGTGCTATGCGATGCTTCAGCAGAACATGACATGCACAGCGCGGTGTGTGCTGACAGTTCTCTAGCACCTGATTCCCTGCCGGTGGACGCGTTTGCGCTCCCACTGGGCATACAGGCGGCGTGCATGGCTTCCCAGCAACTTGCATCATCCTCCTCATTCTGATCGGTCTTTATTGTTGGCCAAAATGCCGGTCAAATGTATGTTGTGGACCAGGGGGTGTGGTGGTACGCCTAGTTGCGGGTTTCGCTGCGTGAGCCACCTGCGCCCTCTCCCATCTCCGGGTTTCTTGACACCGGGCCCAGATGAGGGCAGAGGAGAGGGTGCGGCAGATGCTATGCATGTCCTCTACCACTATAGCCTAGTCCTCGCACAAGTTGCCGTCACTGCTCTCACCCTGCTGAGGAGCACACGACGGACATCATCGAAACCGACGGTCGAACTGTCCTGGAGTGCTGGACTGGCGCATGCCACAGCATGTCTACCACACTCAAGTGGGATGTATTTCTTCGTGCACGCTGACTGGGTGTCACAAACGCAGTTGTATAAGGACACTCTATCGGCGTGTTGAAACGGACTGCAGTGAGCCGTGAGACAAGATTGCAGAACTACAATACCTCCGACAGGTCTTAAAAGCCAATGGTTATCCGCGCAACTTCTTCAACCGGTGCATACGCAAAAGGGATGAAAGGCCTAACTGCTCGAACACCAAATCTTGGCGGGCGATTCTGCATGTCAATAACGCTTCGGAAGCTGTTGGCCGCCTTCTCGTACCACTTGGGGTTGGAGTTGCACACAGACCGGAGGCAACCATCAGGCGTCAGGTAATGAAACCGAAAAACCCTCTGCCGCGGCTCAAAGCGTCTGGAGTCGTTTATCGGATCTGGTGCATCTGCGGACAAGACAAATACGTCGGAGAAACCAGAAGACAGCTCTGAACGAGAATGGCCGAACACGATGCAGCGGTGCGGAGAAATGACGCCAGCTCTCAAGTTGTTGCTCATTCGACAAGATCCGGACACACATTCAAATTCGACGAGGCCGAAATTCTCAAAAGAGGTGACAACTGCGTGAGCCGGGAGCTACTTGAATCATGGTTTACTGGCCCCCAGTCTATTAACAAGTGCAATGAACTTCCCCTTCCATACTCTGTGCTGAGACTTCGCCTAGGCGGAGTAATTAGCCACGCGGGGAGCGCACAGGTGAACACTTGTCCAAACACCAGGGTCGGTGCGTTAGATGTTCGGGCAATCATCACACCAACATTCAACGCACGTGGTGAAATTGCAGCAATTAACGACGCGAATGTCAGCCATCAAACAATTAGCACACCAGGTGCGACGATCCTGGATGAAGGGGGAAGCCATGAATGTTCATAGGTATGCGGTAGCATGGCGACTACAGCCCCTTGTGCGTGAATCACTTGTATCTGCTTTTGTCTCTGATGATGGGTTCGAGCAGGGATCCGAAACGTCAGACCAATAAAGCTCTTGTCCCAGCGATCGTGTCTCCTTCTTCAAGAGATAAGACTGGCTGGGGGGGAGGATGTTTGTCAGTCATCCAAAACATGCCCTTCTAAAAATATTTCGGGTTTTTGTTTCAATGATTGTCAGTTTCACTTTCGCCGAATCCTAACAAAACAGGTGATTACCAGTTAAACGTAACAAATTCGCTTTTGCTTTTCGTAAGTCAATTGAGAAAGCATGGTTTAGTGAACGCCCTCATGTACTGTTTTATGCGTAGAGCCGAAAACAGGTACTGCGAGCACATTCAGCCTACAATCCTTTCACCGCTGTTAACAAGTATCTTGTAAAAAAAATAACAAGTACAACAACAGAGGAAGTTATTCTCGGCATTTTCGACACTATAATATTCGCAACATTCTGCATTGGCGGCAAAACATGGCCTTCTTAAAGAGGACTGCGATCGGAATAAATTTACGGGAAGAATACTGAGGGGACGGTGCGTTTATAACGCTCAATTCTCAGAACCGATTTACCGAAATAAAGTAGAAATCCGCTGGTTAGCAGCATTCTGGAATGCGAACGGATGCAGCAGGTTGAATTGTCAAAAGACCTGGTATTCCTCAAACATCGAGAGTCCTGCTGAACCTACAATGCTGCCAGTCTGAAGTTGCTGCTGGCGAAGATGAGCAGAACTCCGACTCGACTAGAGAGAGCTAAGGCCATCAACACGAGAGTCTGGTTTACAGCAAAGCCCACAGAAAAAGCTATGACGCGATTCTGCAGCCTCCTTATGACAAACAGGACGAATGATCTTATCCGGTCTCACTCCTAGGCACGCCCACATAAGGGCATGCAGAGTTCTTATTTCAGAACGTGAGATTACTGACTGCGGGTCTACAAACAACAGCCTACTCAGATGAACATTTACTGGATAGAGGAGAGGTGGTCACAACTAGACCGAATGAGAGCTTGGCGTCATTTGATATTACCTCGCTCTTCACGGACCCTAGCAGACCAAATGTTCAGTGGCCTGGTTGCGATAAATGCATGGTGAGAACGGTGAGCACCGCACAACCCAGAATCTCACAGAGATTATGCGACACTGCCTAAAGACATACTTTACACTTGAAGAACGATATTTGAGAAAACAAGGAGTGCCTATATGAGTTCAAAAATCTCCGGGCTCATTTGCGAGGCTCTTGATCGTAAGCTTAAAAACAGCTGTTCATGGAGTACAGACCAAAATTTTGCGCACTTGACGACTAATTTAGCAAGATTGATCAAAATAAGATTGATTTTTATGGAAGAGAAAGTCGAAGCCGGACGCTCGCTTTCGGCGAGATTTGGTTCTGCAGCTCCCTTTGATTAATACCATACGGTTAGCTAATTGAAACAATTTTAGTAAGTGCGATTACGCCGACTTTACATACATCACGTGTTTGCGCCTTTCCTTGATATTTCAATTCAGCGAGTGACTGTGCCACGGAGGGTGAGCTCTAATACACCAACCTTGGTTGCATCCGGTATCAGTTCGCACACACTTACCTGCGCTTGATTAGAACCCTGCTTGCGCCGTCTTCATTACCTCAGTCCCGAGAGTGGCTAGGTAAGCCTGCTTATGTCATTGTTCGGACGGCGTCGAATACCGTCGGTTCCCCTATACTGGCTATGTACTGTGAATTAACACACCGTTCCCTCTGTGGCCTTTCAGTTGTGATTTCGCCCTCCTTACCCTCTTAATTCAGCGAGTGGATGTGTCGCG